AGCTCAACATGCTGTCAGGGCATACACCCTGACCTAGCCCACACCTGCATCCACACCTGCACTCACACCTGCACCCATGCCCACACCCAGCTGTTGCACTTCCTGCATGTGCCCTGTGCCAGACGCTCCGTGTGGCTGGATGCCCTGGACCTCAGGTCTTGGGTCTCATGTGACTTCCGGATATCTCCGGAAGTTTTCGATCTATTGTGGCCACTGTGGGAAGATGAGAAGTTAACTTCCTTCTCATCTCTGACCCACAGTAGGCAAGTTGTATATACTTGCCTCTTGTTTTATTATCATCTCTGACCCACCATAGGATTGTGCCCTGGACAGGGCTGTACACATGTGAGGCTGTGGGCTATAGGGGAGGGTCATGGGAACCTGGGAGTCATCCCCTGACACATGCCCAACCCCAGACACACCAGGTGACCTCCCACACACCGGGCACTCCTGGGATCTCTTGCAGAGCTACCTGGACGGACATGGCTGTGCACATAGATGATGTGGCCTTAACCACATGTATATAAACACAGCCTAAGTGGGAACTGAGAAGCAACCTTCTTCTCACACTTCCCACTTTAGTCTAAGTGGCCAGGGATGCCTGTCTGCATCGGGCCTGCTGCTACACACGCTTGCATCACACCCTACTGGGCCCTCAGCTCCAGACGATATACCTGGACGCTCTTGACCCTGGGTTGGTCCCTGACACTCGTGTGGTTACAAGCACCCCAGCTATGGGTGACTTTTACATTTACTATGAGCATAAACATGGCTGGGAACCATCAGAATTAAAATTATTCATTTGATTTGTGTTAGCTCCAAGGCACCTAATTATGCTACAAAACATGAGTTGAATGGGGAATGGCATGCTAAAACAATGTCAGATGTGACTTTTTTTCTTCAATTCTGCTATTCTCCCTCATTCCTGTTTGGGCTGCTGCTTCTTTCTATTCAGTCAGCAAGCCATTCCTAACTCCCATCCTCCCTCCTTCCTCCTTGGGCCTTGGCCCTTCATACCTCCTTTGAGAGAAACACCATTGAGTCAAACCCTTGACCCTCAGTGTTGTTCCCCCTTCCAGCTCCCTTTGTCTCCTTTCAGTTACCCTTGCTCCGTTTGACTCTGGACCCCTCCTATATATACAATGTACTTAGTAACTTGTAACCTCAGTCTGAAATTGACTTGATATCCTCCCTAGAGACTTTACCCTTGCCATATCTGAAATTAAGGACCAACAGGACAACCAGCAATGGCACAGTGCTCCCCTTGAATCACTGAGGCCAAGGTCCCTCCTTGATAAGTCTCTGATTCTGTTCCAGAATCATCTGAACCGACAGCATCTAACAGTACCCATTGTAGCAGACTCTCCATCACCATGAGGCCATAGCTTCCTGCAAGAAGCTTGTCATATCCATACATACCCAATCCCAATTCGACTTCTGGACCCTCCTCTCCACAACCTCTGGAGTCCTACCCTATCCCCATCTGCTCCAATCTCCGCCTTTGGACCTGACACCACCTTCCCCTCCTCCTGAATCTCTTCCACCAACCTCTGCCAAGGTATGACCTCCCACTGCTGTCCCCTACCCCATACTCAGACACCACTTGTACCTCCACTCCAAGACCTGTCATGTTCCCAACCTTGGACTTTGACTCCACCTTGGCTTAAGTCCATTGCATTGGTGACCTCATTTCATGTGAACACCATTGCCAATATTCCTTGGACTTTCAACCCCACCTCCGTAAGCTCTGTTACCTCTGAGCTTCATGGATCTACCTTCAGCACTTTTGCCATCCATATTGTATATTTCTCACTTCTCCCTCACCCCTATTTGGACTACTGCTTCTTTACATTCAGCCAGTTAGTCATCAACCCCACTTCCCCTCATCCTCCTGCTCTGGGCTTGCCCTCCTTACCTCCTTTTGGATGTACCATAGAGTCTAGCCCTTGACCCTCAGTGCAGTTCCACTTCCGTAATTCCCTTTGTCTCTGTTCAGACCCCTTTATTCCATTTTGGACCCCCTTTGTTTCTTGTGTTTCCAACACTCTATTATATATAGTCACTTGTACATACCCAAGAAACCCTCAGTCCAAAATCGACTTGATTCCCCCTAAGAGACTTCCCCCCTGCTAGATCCAAAATCAGGGACCCCCAGGACAACACCCACCTGAATCACTGAGGCCAAGGTCCTTTCATGATAAGTCTCTGGTTCCATTCTGGAATCTGTCAGGGATCAGCCCCTGACCCCGCTGTCAGGGCACCCAACCACACCCCAGAACCACCCTCCCTGACTTCCCCCACTTCCTGACCTCCCCATCCCTACATATCTCTCACAACTACAGCCTGCATGTGAGCCCACAGGAAAAATCACATGGGTCAAGGCAAGCAACTCGCCTTAACCCATGTGACACCTTTTCCGAGTCGTGGGAACATGCTCAGCTTCTACCCAGAGTCATGTTATGAACTGTACAGTACACTTCCCTTTTATAGCAGCCAAGCGGGGAATAGGGAAACTTACCCTTCTTCTCAACTCAATCCCCACTTAGGCAAGTTGTAGTTACCCTCTGCAATACATGACAACTCAATCCCTGCTTAGTCCCTTCAGTGAGTTTGAGGAGCTGAGGACAGGGTCTAGCACCCAGCCACCCGGAACATCACACACACCTAGGCCTGAGGCAGGGCTGTCCCCAATCGAGGACCGAGCCCTGACAGAATCGTCCAAACTTGCTGTATCTAAAAACGCTCACCATTTGCCAGATAATGTTCATCACATGACTGAACCACCCTATTTAAACAAGGCAGATGATCCTAAGTCATTGTCTATAAGGACAGGTAGAAATGGGTTATCCAGGACCCATTTCTTTAACACATTGTCACTATCATCAATGTTGTTGACAAACATTGCCAACACTTATTTTTCAAAATCACTGTTCCCATATAAACTTCACTAACACACAACTTCCCTTGCTTGCTTCCTTTCCTTTTCATTTTGGCTTTGCCTTTGCCATCCTTGCCATTTTCCAAACAATGACTATGTATGTCAAAAACCCTGAATGTAGGGGAAAATGTGTGAGTCCGAATGCAGGCAGGGCTCAACTAGAGGGGGTCCGAGAGCTCCGGTAGTGGACTGAAGCTTCTCCAGGAAGCCCAGGTCTGCTGGGTGGTACAAGAGGCTCTAAGAAGGATGCGGCCTCAGCGACTTGGAGGGAGCACTGTGCCTCTGTTACGTCTCAGTTAGTCCTTGTATTCATTGTCTGAGGTATCTTGTAGGAAGGGGTCGGGATTCACTCAGAGGGACTTGGGGTAACATTTTAGTCGAGATTAGAACTGGGGAACTACAGGTTCTAATCTACAAGTATTTATATATGGAGGAATGGGAAGGACTTTAGTCAAAGTCCGAGTGATAATGGAAAACACCGAAAGGTGCCAAATGATACCAAAAGGTACCGAAAGGTCCCGAATGATATCCTTAACGGGAAACCGAGGTGTCGGGTCGAGAAGGGTGGAGTAAGAGGCTGGAGGATGAATGGGAACGAGAAATGGGTAAGAGGAGGTTAGCCGACTGAATGAAAAGAAGACAACAGTTGTACTATAAATAGAAGGTGACTAATTAGTGATGATGTGAGTGGGATCACTGGAGGATGCGGGTAGCTCCAAAGGCGGAGTTATGTATCCGAGGGATGTTGGGTGACTCCAATAAATGAAATGGGAGGGGGAATGGTTCAGAGGTAAGTCACAGGATGTCAGAGATCCGTTGGGAGGTCGGAGCAAATCCAGAGTCTCCAAATGTTCCAACTCAGGACCGAGCTTCCAGGATGGGAGTGGCCCAGGTAAGGTGTGCCGCAACCAGGCCGGAGCTGAGACAGTTAGGAAGGAAGGTGACTTGGGAAGTGGGGAGTTATGGTGTAGGGGATGATGAAGTTGTTAGGAAGGTGTGATGTGGTGGGAGAGCGCGGGGTCGGGGTTCCGGGATATGACAATGTACTATGTAAATACATGGCATAATAAAGTCTTTCAGACAAAGTCTAAATCAAGGCTCTCCAAAGCACTGGCAATTCAACCAATCAGGTGATGAGACTCCTCAACCTCCTCATTCTCAGTTTCCAGCCCCCATCCACCATCCCACTGTCAATATCATCAGAGGGTATGAGATTGGTGGTGTTGTGGAGGAGGTTTCATTGAGTGGTACTAATAGAATGGTCAGAACCATTACAAATGCCCTAATAGATACACTTGCTATTTGATGGGTTTCTATCTGTGTTTCCTGGGCTGCTGTCAAAGACTGGATTCAGGATGAGCGAGAAGGACTCGGTGTTTCAGAGGGCTGCAGCCTCAGCAACTCAGCCAGGAGCACTGTGCCCAGTAACATGTTGGTGCCCTAATTTATGGACTGGGGAGTCTTCTGGAAAGGGGGGATAACTTTAGTTGATTTTCTGACTGGGGTTTCCGGTATCTACAAGTATAGTATATATAGATACAATGGGAGCCTAGTGTAGGGAATGGATGTGTGGTGATGTGTGCTGTGCACGCTTTCTTTATTCATTGTTTATTACTCTTTATTTCTCAATGTAAACAATGTATATAAATTGCAGGGAAGGGTGAAACAGGTTTTCACTCTTCTCCCCTGTCGAATTAAAGCTCTATACTGCCTACATTCTGACAGCTTTCAGCATCAAGGTCAGAACCTCAACTGACCTTACACCTAGGCAGCGGGCCCATAAATGGCAGGGACTGGGCAGAGCTGACATAACAGGGTCAAGGGTTAGCCAACTAAATATTACTGGCAACTTGGGTTATGGGTTTAACAGATAATAACCCAGAAGTGGAATGGAGGGTGCAGTCCAAAGGTGGACTTGCAGGGTAGGCAACTAAATAGCCCAGCAGAGGTGGGGGTGCACTTGCAGATGTCCAAGCTGTCCAGAGGCCTTCAGGGGTCCATACTTAGGGAGGCATAAGTAATATAAATATATTGAAATGGGGGGTGGTGACCATTGGGGTAGTCAGAGGGGATTATGGGATTTGGGGGCTCCAAGGTTGGGAATGGTGGAGCAGAGGCAACCAGGGATGGTTGGAGGTGGTGGCAGGAGATGGATATGACAGCTGCCATAAGTGTCAGGGCTCGCTGGTGGTCCGCTTGTCATCCCTTCCCCATCACCAGTTAAGAAATGTGCAAGCTTATCCAGCTGGGTAAGTTTGGAATGTAGGTGCACATTGACATTGAGGTGGTATTGGGAAGTAGTGGAAATATATCCTGCCAGAGCAGGGTTGGTCAATCAAATGTTCTCAATGGCACCTTGCAGGCAAACCTCCTTCATTTTCCATCAAGGTCCATACCCAACAAGCTTCAAGTTTGACAGTGTCAATCTCTTCACAGGCTTGTTGAAGCTTATGCCAAGCTTGGGCAGCCTTGCAGAGAAGGGGCTTCACCCATGGTTTCTCACATACATCATCATGGCCCCATAAGATCATGATATCTGATATGAACTCAAGGCTGGTTACATCCTCCCAACTGAGTCTTGGCTTTGGGGGATTCATGGTGGATGCAAGAGTGTTGTATTTCTTCAGCATCAAGTTAAGTGTCTTGCCTGCTGAAGGAGGGAACAAAGGAAGGACAGTTGGGAGGTTCTAACAAGACCACCACCAATCTGTTCCCTGGTTCTTTAGTTTGGATGGGGAGGTGTACTAATGAATTTGTTGTGAATTTAGTACTAATCCAAGTGTTTTGGCTAATTCTGTTTTATGGGTTAGTCTAAAAGTCTCTGAGAAATGAACTACAGATGAATACAACCCTGTGGAGCTGTTCCTTGAATGTAATTTCTCAATTTATCTAGGTATAATTCTGTGTAGGATCATTTAAATTTGGAATCTTAACCTGAAATTAATCTTCTACTTGGTGAATTTTCAGGTATTTTATTCCATGAATGGTTTTAAATTGTATCTGAAGTGTCCCATGGCCTTTTCTTATTTTCTCTTATTTTTATTGCTTGTTTTAACAGTAGCAATATAACTGTTTTGTTTACACTTTTGAAATCTGGAGTGTTAACCAGCTCTCCTGTTGAAATATTTACTTAATATTTCTCTCCCTGATTGCTGCCTTTTACTACAGTGGCAATCTTAACTGTTTTACACTTTTTTGCACTGGAGTGATAACCAGAAATGCTTGAGAAAAATAGTATCTTAATTTCTTACTTCTCTAACGGGGGGCATAAAGTCACAGAAAGGGTCTCCTTTTTATACTCCTTAGGTTGCCTTCCTTTTTCATGCTCTACCTTGTATTTACAGTGCATTTCCCTCAAACTGAATAAATAATGAATTTTTCACACATCAGCAAACTTGGTAGGGAGCTCTCAGAGCTCACAGAGCTCTGTGAGCAAATTGAGTCTTTTTGCTGTGCACCCTCTACACATTGGGTGGAGAAAATTAAATGTTTGAATGATTTTGTTCTCCTAAGGATGCAGAAGTGCAAAGATAATATGTATATACATTTTTGGAAATGCATATTAAATGGCCAGCATCATTACTTGAAAAGCTCTATGAGCTCATAGAGCTTTTTGTTTTTAAATAATGGATGGTCTTCATATCTCCATGAAATCTGCTTAGTTATTTTGGCACCAGTAGTGCAAAGATAATATGGATATATGTGTGTGTAAAATGGCCATTGTCATTGCTCTGAAAGCTCATATACCTTTTGTGTTTACTAAAATCAGCACCTTATTTGTTTATTGCTATTTACAAAATATGATGAAAACTCTGAAATTCAAAAATTTGCACTTTATCTTTCATCTCATTTCTTGCTCAAAACTCAACCAATTTTGATGATTCTATGTGAATTGGAAAGCACCAAAGTGTGGCAATGTAACCATGCATGTTATGTAGGGTATAAATCAGTTTTAAAAAAGTGTTCCAAATGAAGTAAATTAAAAATACCACCCAATAAAGCAAACAAAAAGCTGATGTATTCTTCAGATATCATCCAAGCCTTTGACACCAAATTTCCCATGGTCAAAAAGCCATGGTTATTTGGCTCACCAAAACATGTGGGAGACTTTTCTAACACTGAAACATACATTGCCACATTGCCCCACTTTGGCACTTTCCAATACACATTGAATTATCAAAAAAGTGATTTAATTTCTTTTCCAATTATTCCTAATTTCCTGAAATATCTCTCCCTAACTTATCCCAAATTTTCTGATTTTCCCCCTAATTTCCCCTGATTTTTTGGACATTCTCCATTTTTAGAAAGTCCTCCATTTTTAGAAAGTCCCCCATTTTCTGAATTTTCCTTAATTTTCCCTGACTTTTTAGAAACCCCCCAGTTCCCCCTCATTTTCCTCCCATTTTCCCCTTCATCCCCCCCCTCAATTTCCCCCCCAATTCCCTCCGCAATTTCCCCCCCATCCCCCCCTTCGATTTTCCCCTCATTCCCCCCCCATTTCCCCCCTCAATTTTTCCCTCATTCCCCACCTCATTCCCCCCCCAATTCCCACCTCAATTTCCCCCCCATTCCCCCTTCAATTTTCCCCTCATTTCCCCCCATTCCCCCCTTCAAATTTCCCTTCATTCCCCCCCTCATTCCCCCCTCATTCCCCCCCCCCAATTCCCTCCTCAATTTCCCCCCATTCCCCCCCTCATTTTCCCCCCATTTCTCCACTCATTTTCCCGCATTTTCCTTAAGTAATTTCAGATTAACTGTATATGTATATCCCTAAATTTGGTCTATATATTAATTTGGCTATATACCCTTGGTGTGTAGTGCTGCATTGGGGGCTGAAAGTTAAGCTCAGTTTTTTCAGTTTCCTGCATGGTAGGGACTTGGCTGTGACTCATCACATGATGCCAGAGTCAATGCTCTTAAATTTTAATTTGATATCGGATAAATTAAACACTCAGGGAGCTCATATAGATAATAGTCCCCTGTGTGCAAATATAGCTCTATGAGCTTTGACTACTTTGGGGAGCTCTGAGAGAAGGGACCTGCAATTTCAAAGTACTGAAACTCTGAGAGCTCTGTGAGCTCTAAGGCCTCCACATCCAGGTTTGCTGATGCAGCCAACTGTTGGGATTGCTTCATGGCATGTTTCAGTGGATGCTGGATGCCAACATCACAGGGCCACCAGATGCCCATGCATCCACCAGGAACATAGTCTAGTATGATCCAAGGGTAGTTCCCATACATCCAGACACGAAACTCGAGAGATGTGTGAACCAGCCATATGTCAAGTTGCCAGATACACTCTTGTAGCAGATCAAGAGACAACTGTTCCTTCTTTGCATTGAAATAAGGAACCAGTATGCATGATACAAATGATTTCATTGTTGTAATGTTTGCCCAGTAAGTATCATTTCCAGAGAATTCGAAAATAAAGCCAAGTTGCATGGCTTCATCATAACTTGGGGCACTCATCGAAGGTGAGCTTGCTGGAGTCTTGCCACAAAAGATAGCCTGGAATGGTAGAAGAGCCCCACTGGCAGAGATAGCCATGTTAAGAGTAAACATGCGCTTCTCATCATGGCCAACAGTAGAAACCTGATGGGATCCCTTTTGTTCATATGTGGAGGTTGAATTCTGTTGATAGATCACTTGTGTCTGATCTGAATTTTCATTGGCATCAGGGGGGGTCTTTTGCGATGCGCGAGTGGCCTGTCGCAAGCTCCAATTCATTTCTTCTTGGAGAAACCTCCGGACCCACATCATGCTCACAGCAAACACACTCCCATCTTCTTTCACAACGGTTCTGAGGATGTGGGGCTGGGTATGTTGTATTTGAGCAATGATGGCACCACAGATTTGGTGGGCATCCAATGCTGCACCAGCCTGTTGGATGCTCAAAAGTGTTCACTTGATTGCAGCAACGGTATCCGGGTAGGATGCCTACATACATATCCCAATTTCTTCCTTAAGTTTCTAGAATACCACTAACCATTCTAGACTCACCAATATCCCCCTCTTTGTAACATTTCCTCCTGGGCAATTTTCTTTTGCGACCTTCGCCAGCATGTCATTGGACCAACATGGACGTGACCCCATGCAATCAATCCATTTACAGACAACATCGACACACAATGAGCGAAAGAGCCCTGGCTTCTTAATTGACATCCCTTCACTATTTTGGTAGGACTCATGTGCCAGCTGATGGTCGCTGCCACTTCGATTATAATTGTCCAGAACACAGGCTGGAACCAGTTTGTTGCCTTAGTGAACTTGCATGCTTTTTGACTATAAGGCTGTATGGCATTGCTTGAGTGGTGAGTGATCTTTCGGTGCTTCTGTTCCCTCAACCATTGCTGAATATGACGCTTTGGCTGCAACATCTCTGCAATCAGGAGTTGCTCACTTGAAACACTGACACTTGGGTCCACATCAAGCAAGTGCTAGACATTTCCTTCCATTAGAGTTCACAGGAATTCTGCTGAATAGACTTCACCTTTTTCTTTGTGTCCTTTCTGCCTGCTGCCAACATTGCTTGGTGACGTTGCTGTCTTTCCCATGCTAATGCTCGACTTCTCTCCAACTTCAGTCTTGCTGCCAGTTGCCCCACTGCTCTTGCTTCTTCACATCTTTCAGTGATTTTCTCAAACTCAATTGATCTTTGCTTCACAAATTCCTTGTGATTTACTCTGTGGAAGAACTGCAGCAACCCATGTCCCTCATCCCCCTTTGTCACAGTGAAGTCCAACTTCAGTTTTTTTCCCTTCGATTTCCCAACATCGGAGCCAACTGAGATCCCCACCATAGCTCGGCTAGTTTCCTGATTTATGGGGTGAGCTGGTTCTGCTACCGTTGGGAGTACTGTCAAGGTCTCCATTTGGATTTTTGTATGGTCCAAGATCATTGGCTGCCCAGTTTCTGCTACAGGGATTGTCGCTGCAGAGGTGGCCACCAATGATGAGAACGTCATTGGCACTGGCTCAGCTATTCCTGGGTCCGACATTGTTGGTCCAGTGATCACTGCTGAGGTTGCCACCACCAGGGCAGCTATCACTATTGCTTCTGGGGTAGGGTTCATCTAATAATAAGTTGGTGAGTTCTTGTTTTATCTGCTTAGGTTAGCTGCTTATGTGTGGTCACTCACCTGTGCATCATGGTGGTTGAGGATTGATGTGAGGAACTTGACACAAAGCATCACGACATCTTTGCCAGTGGCAAGTGGGTATTTTTTTGGGATAAAATGGTGCATCAATGCATTGAGAGCAAAGAAGCTGCATGAAGTGGCATCGTTTTGGTAAGCGACTGGCAGCCATGCAACCTGAAATGGAGGTGCTGATTGGTTTAATTCCAAATAGGATGTGCTGAGCCACCATTGAAGAACATGAATCACCTCTGTGGCTGCAACTGATGGTCCATCAACTCCATGTAAGGAGTCCACAAGGAAAATGGTTGCTTCTGTGGTAGAGATCAGGAATGCGACCCAATGATTATTGTTGATGTGAGTGATTCCACCGAACTGAGGTATTGTCCCAGATGAGAGCTCAGAGCCAAATCTGCAGAGAGCTTTGCAGTTACTCATGCATATACCTTTCATGGCCATTCCCATCTGGTTGTGTTGCACATCCAGTCAGGTACTGGACATCAATGGGGCTCAAGAGCCTAGCACTTATTCCATGGGCCTCCAAATCCCTTTCGAGAAGTTCTACATGGTACGAGATGTCGGTGGTTACCAGACAGGACAAGGTGAGATGATGTATCAGTCCTTTAATGGAACCCAGAATTGATTTTGAGAACCCAAGGATTTTGGTGTTCCACTCACATGACAGGAGCTGCTTTTGGGCTGCCTTGATGGCAATGCGGTGAGTAGGGTAACAGCTTGCCAGTTTCTCAACTTGTGTCTCTGACTCTTTCCACATCTTCTGGATATTTTGTATCTGAAATAGGACTTCCCAGATTCGGATGATGCTGATAGGGACATAATGTATGCCTATTTTTGCTGAGCAAGGAGGGTGGTCATCATCGGGATCATATTCAGAAATGATTTTCTGTATGATGTGGCAGGATGGGCAGGACATGTTGTGAAGGTCACTTTCAGCTAATTCTGGGATGGAGGGTGGATGATTACTGAGGCATGTGGATGTGCTTTGTAAATTTGTTTGGAGTGATGGGAGCTTAAACTGGAGAAACTCGGTGATGGACAGGGTGTGTCTGGGGAAGTAGGGCCCAATAATTGCATTTGGGATACCACTGTACAGGACAGGCTCATCTGTATAAGAAAGAGCAAAACTGTCCATCTTTGAAAGCCAGGTGCAGAGAAATTTTTCGGAGGGGTGGCAAACATGTTTTCAAATTTATTACATTTATTCTGGCCACTAAACGTGACTATCGGCACACTGCACTTTCCTTTTGGGTCACGCCCCCATGGTTGTGGTCACGCCCACTGGTTGGGTTGTCACGCATCCAAACAAGCTCGTGGTTCATCACCCAGCAGAAATTTTGTGTCACACTTAAGACATGCTGGTAGTTGGTCATGTGGGTACAGTACTGGCAGGCCCAGCTCAGGAGGCAGTCCCTGGCCACTTAGACTGAAGTGGAAAGGGTGAGAAGAAGGCTACTTCTTCAGTTCCCACTTCAGGTATGTTTATATCCCAAGGGCATCCACTGCGAATGTGCGAGTTGGACGTAGTGGGGAGTCACCTGAAGTACCCAGGCTGGGCATGTCATAAGCGCACTGCAGATGGGTCAATGGTACATTGATACAAAGAAAAGTTGTCCATGTAAAATGAAGAGAAAATAAAGAGAAAGTAAAATAGGGGAAGAGTGAAGAAAGGGAGGGTGAGAGAAAGAAAGAAGAAGGGGGGAGGAGGTAGGAGAGGACTGGGTGGTGGGGCACCAGGTGAAGTAGGGCCAGGTGGGGCCGGGTCAGGCAGGTGTGCCCTGACAGAGGTGCATCGGGTACAGGGTGTTTGTGTCAGGGATGCGTCCGGGGTAGAGGGGGCCCGGGTGAGACGCCCGACACTAGAAGTCTCGCGGGGTGTGGAGCAGGCATGCGTACTGGCAGGCCTGGCTCAGGAGACAGTCCCTGGCCACTTAGACTGAAGTGGAAAAGGGTGAGAAGAAGGCTACTTCTTCGGTTCCCACTTCAGGTATGTTTATATACATGCGGCTTGGGTCACATGATGGGTGCCACGTCATCCTCGCATACAGCCATAGTCACCTGGGTGTCCCCATGGGGGATCCCAGGGGTGTCCGCTGTGAACGCTGAAGGAGAGAATGAAGGAAGGTCAGTTGGGAGGTTCAAACGAGACCACCACCAAGCTGTTCCCTGGTTCTTTAGTTAGGATGGGGAAGTGTACTAGTATTATTTGTTGTAAATGAAGTACCAATCCGAGTGTTTTGGCTAATTCTATTTTTATGGGTTAGTCTAAAGTTTCTAGGAATTGACTTACAGATAAACCGAGCCCTGCGGAGCTGTTCCTTTATTGAAATTTCTTAATTTGTCTAGGTATAATTCTGTGTAGTGTTGTTTAATTTGGAATTTAACTTGAATTAAATCTTCTACTTGGTGAAGTTTCAAAGATTCTACTCAGTTAATGGATTTGGATTGTGTCTGGAGTGTCCCTTGAGTTTGTTTTATTTTTGTCTTATTTTATTGCTTGTTTTAACAGTAGCAAAATAACTGTTTTGTGTTTACACTTTGAAATCTGGAGTGTTAACCAGCTCTCCTGTTGAAATATCTACTTAATATTTCTCTCCTTAATTGCTGCCTTTTACTACAGTGGCAATCTTAACTGTATATCACTTTTTCGCACTGGAGTGACAACCAGAAATGCTTGAGAAAAATAATACTCTATTTTCTTACTTCTCTGAGGGGGGGGCAAAAAGTCGCAGAAAGGGTCTCCCTTTTATACTCCTTGGGTCGCCTTCCTTTTTCACGCTCTACCTTGTATTTACAGGATTTATTTACAGTGTATTTTTCTCAAACTGAATAAAAAATGAAATTTTCACGCTATAGTTCTACTGCACTCAGCTGCGCTGAACTGCGGCTCTACTGCAGTCAGACTGCGCCTAGAATCCTTATTGTCCTTCCTTGCCTAAGCTATGTTAATGGTTAATTAGAACTTGACTGCGCTGCATTTGTCGCAGTTTCCTATTTCAAATTCCTCATATTTACCATTAAATTTGCTATGACTCGGTGATTCTGAATTCAAACTTCGTATTACTATGCGTATGGCTGCGCTGAGACCTTCAGCTGATTTATTCCATTTTTATTCAGTGACATTTAGTAAAAATGAGACTTGAAATGGTAAATGAGTGAATTATTCAGGTTTAAAACCAAAATAAAAAGTTGCTAGTAGTCAAGAATTACTCAAACGAATGTATTGTAGCTCTCCACTTCATTAGAATATTGTTCCCTAAAATTCCTGCCATGGTCCGTCGTAGTTTAGTGGTTTTCGTGGATTTCATTCATCTTCCCTGATTCCCCCTTGTATTATCACATCCTGATCCTCCATATGTATTGTTCGTTGTTATAGTAGGTCGTCCTCGAAGATATCATATTTTTATGTATTTTATTTAGGGCTCTGGACCTCTTGAAGCTGTTTTCCTGTGCGTTTTCAGGTTTCTAACTTCATGTCCTTGTATCTCATTCATTTCTGGATGTTTTCTCACGTTCTTGGTATCATAAATTTTCATTTATTCCCACCTTTCCAATGGTACTAAGGTTGTGTCCTATTTCCTGGTATTCGTTGAGTTAGCAAAAGTTCGCGCACACATTCGGTAATCACGTGCATCGTTCCCATAGTCGTTCGTATGCGGGTGCCGTTTCCGTTTAATTGTTCGGGATTTATGATATGCACGGGTGTTTATTTCTTTCATATGGGCTTCTGTGATTTATTTCAGATCTTTCCCTCATGATCTAAGGTTGTTTTACACTTTCCGTGCTTTGTTTTGACCGGGCTCTTCCTTATTTGGACGGAAATTGGTCTTCGCAATCTGCCGAAGTGCGGATCTTGGTTCTGACGGCTGGTTCCCTGCACATTGCCACCCTCACGTGTCATTACACATGATGCGGATTTCTATATTCTCGTCATGGGTATAACTTCACAACGGCTGGACCATTTGGGCTGAAAAATTGCATAACTATAGTTCCCCATTTTTCATAATTTCCGTGTAAATTTCGTTGTATGTTTTAATTATGGATCCTACGCAAACATCGTCTTTTCCCTGAGCTCGGACTTTTGATGTCGCTATTCCCGTTATTGGATATCTCATTAATGCATGATCCTTTTATTATGAAAATTTGGGAGGATTAAGATTAAATCCCTTCCTTTCTAATGGGCTATCAAGCTTGTCTCGGTCGTTACTGGTTAATCTTTGCGCTTGCCTTTTAGATGTTGTCCTTGTTTTGCAGGAGTTTTAGTCATATCTCCGTCGTTTATGGGTAGTTTCCCCTGTAATTACTTTCATTGGGTCCGTTTGGGGGACATCTACATTTCCTATTATAGACACAACTTTAAATTTTGCATTAGTTCCTGAGGAATCCTTGTTCTGTGGTACTTCCATCCTTGGCTACGTGTGCGGACGTGGGAAAGTAGTCTCCGTGGAGGTTCTCTGATTGTTTTTATAGTCAAATCTTGGTCGATTGTCCTAATTCTTGGTTTAATATTTGCTATAAATTCCCCCGAGAATTCCGTCTCGTTGATGGTAAGCTTGAAGTATTTTTGCTATTTTTCTTTCTTTCGATTTATCGCGTATAGTCATAATAATTCGTTAAAATTCATTAAAATTCAGGTCCTTCTATTTTCTCCTATCTACTTGTTGTATGAGGTTTTGTGATTTATCTGGCATATTTCCATAATGGGTTTCCATAGTGTGACCGTTATTTCTCCTACAATGCACGAGCTGGACATAGCAGGGGGTCGCCCGAGGCACCCAGGCTGGGTGTGTCGTGAGCACGCTGTGGGTGGGTCAATGGTACATTGATACAGGGAAAGGTTGTCCATGTAGAATAAAGAGAAAATAAAGAGAAAGTGAAATACATGAAGAGGAAGTGAAATGGGGAAAGAAAGAAAGAGGAAGGGGGGGAGGAGGTAGGAGAAGACTGGGTGGCGGGGTACTGGGTGAAGTGGGGCCGGGTGGGGCCGGGTCAGGCGGGTGTGCCCTGACAGTTTGTCAGGGTGTCAGAATCGCAATTTCTGGGCTTGTTTGTATAGTAGCAGGGATTCCTGCCTACAACACACAGGTAGGGACCTGGGTGCCTCCATAACTGTGGGGAATTTAACACAAGGGGAAAGAAAGTTGCATGCAGTAAGAAGAAAATAGTGGATGAAGGGGAGCAAGGGAATTGCTGAGGTCATGTTGGCTCTTCATATATATAATTTGGTTCCAGGCTCCTAGCAATGATGGTTTGGCTTAGAAGCTACTGCTGGCTTCCATGCAGCCCTGTATTTAGATGGGTTCTGGTTCAAATCCTGTGTATTACTTTTTTTTTTCCCTTAGAAAATGGATGAAAAACTTCCAATTCCATGGGGTGATCAATGTCATGAAAATGTACATTGGGCAGCTGCTTTTGACTTTGTGATTGTTAGAACAGGGCGAGTGTGGACAATTCCAGAGTGGAACCGGAGACTTAGCAAGGAGGGACCTTGGCCTCAGCAACTCAAGGGGAGTGCTGTGCCATTGCTGTTTGTCCTTAATTTCAGACATGGCGAGTGAGAAGTCTCTGGGGGGCATTCTGGTCGATTTTAGACTGAGGGTCAATTGAGTATGTACAAGTGCCTACATATAATAATAGAGGGACGAAAGCACAGGAAAACAAAGGTGGTCTGAAACAGAACAAAGGTGTCTGAACAGAGACAAAGGGAATTATGGGAGCAGAGTGGTACCAAGGGTCAAGGGTTAGACTCTATGGTACATCCAAAAGGAGGTAAGGAGGGCAAGGCACAGAGGGGCAGGAGGATGAGGTGAAGTGGGGTTGATGACTAACTGGCTAAATGTAAAGAAGCAGTAGTCCAAATAGGGGTGAGGGAGAAGTATATACTACAAGTGGTGAAGGTGTTGAGGATGGTCTGTGAAGCTTGGAGGTAGTGGAGCTTACAGAGGTGGGGTTGGAAGTCCGAGGAATATTGGCAATGGTGTTTACGTGAAATGGGGTAACCAATGCAATGGACTTAAGCTGAGGTGGAGTCAAAGTCCAAGGTCGGGAGCATGATGGGATCTCAGAGCGAAGGTACAAGTGGTGTCTGAGTATGGGGTACAGGACAGCGGTGGAAGGTCGTAACTTGGTGGAGGTTGGTGGAAGAGAGTTGGAAGGAGAGGAGGGTGGTGTTCAGTCCGAAGGTGGGGATCAGAGCAGATGGGGATAGGGTAGGACTCCAGAGGTGGTGAAGAGGAGGGTCCAGAAGTCGAATTGGGATCGGGTATGTACAGATATGACAGTGATCAACCCCAGATCCATGGTTGAAATTAACCCATTATATATTACTTTTAGGACCGAGTCCATGTGAGGTCTACTTGGTCTATGTAAGGAATGGATGTCAGGGATGGATGATGTGTGCTTTGTGCACATTCTGTTTATTCTTTTATTCTTTGATAATCCTTGTAATAAACAATGTATAACACCTGTATGTACATATATAGTGTCTGGGGTTGGGAAAAGGGGCCTTGCTCTTCTCCTCCCCCCCTGTCAAATACTAGCTCCATACAGTCTAGCTCTTGACAGCCTGAGGGTTGAGGAGTCACCAAGGCTGTCAGAGACCAGATGCGGGACAAAGGAGACATCCCCATGGTGGAGGGCTTTGGCCTCAGCGACTTAGACCAGGAGCACTGTGCCTAGTTCCATGTCTGTGCCCTAACTTACTTACTGGCAAAGAGATCTAGAAGAGGGAAACTCTAGCTGATTTTATCACTAGGGTGTAACCTATCTACAAGTTATGTATATATAGTTACATAGGGGGCAGGCCCATGAATGGTGGGACCAAGCGGAGCAGAGCTAACAGAGTTACATGTTAGCCAACTGAATAATACCGATGAGTCGGGTTACAGGGTTAGTGGAGTGGCAGGCTATGACCCAGAAATGGAAAGGAGGGATTTGTCAGGGCATGCCCCGCCCGACCCTCGCTCCGCTCCCCCGCTCCGCACCGCTTCTCCCTCTTCCTTTCTCCTTTCCCCTTTCCTTCCTTCCCTCTTTCTTTCTTTCTTTCTTTCTTTCTCACATGGACCACCTTTCCCGCTGCTCAATGTATCACCGGTGCGCACGCCCATTTCCCCTCTTGTATCTCGCTGTTCCTATATCGCTGCCATCGCCGCCACACTTACCCCGCACCCACAGCAGGCCCTCTCAGGATCTCCCGCGGAGGCACCCGGAGAGCCGTGGCTGTGTGCGAGGGTGATGTGGCACGCCCCACGTGACCGATCCTGCATGTATATAATAACAGCTGGAGTGGGAACTGAAGAAGTAGACTTCTTCTCACATTCCCACTTCAGGCAAGTAGTGTAGCCTTCCCTTTTAATAATAACTCACATTCCCACTTCAGACTAAGTGGTCGGGGACGCTCACCCTGCGACGAGATTGCCGCTACGCACAGCCACTACTCGTCCCACCGAGTCCCGCACGCTGGGACCTCACCGCTTTCGGAGCTGTCCCTGACAGGATTGGCCTGAAGGTAGGCTTGCAGGGCAAGCAAGTGAATTGCCCAGTGGAGGTGGGGGTGTGCTAGCGGACATCAGAGCTGTCTGGAGGCCTTCGGGACTCTGTACTTAGGGAGGTGTAGGTAATATATTGGATTGAGGGGGTGGTGACCATCAAGGGAGTTGGAGGTGATTGCGGAATATGGAGGCTCCAAGGTTAGTGACAAAGGAGCAGAGGTAATCCGGAAGGACCAGAGGTAGTGGAGAACGATGGCCATGGATGGATATGACAAAGGCCGGCACCCCAAACGGCCTTACAGTCTAGTGGGTTATAGTGCTGTTATGAACCTATTGCCCCCCCCCCTTGTTTGATTCATTCTTGGTGGATTTTTTTTGCCACAGTTATTACTTCAATGTATATAATACCAATAAGCAATGCTACACTAACTGCACTAAACAAACCCTATGCCGAGCATGTTCTACAATACACAAGTGCTGCCATGGTAATTAATAATCTTGGTTTTGTAATTGGGTTGGGTGGGAAAATGACAGGGAGGGGATGATGAGACCCCATGCAATGAATAATTATTACATAATAACATCACATGTAGGCAATGGTTGTTGGCTGGTTTCTAAATCAATTCCCATCATTTTTTGTTTGGCCTTGATGATGTGCATATTTCCCTTTGCACTCATTTCAGGGGGGCTTTTTAGGTTTTCTTCCTATGCACAAAATTTTTGGTTTTTGGTTTGAGATGCGGCTTCCAACACTCCAGCTACAGGCGACTTTTACATTAAGTTCATGCTCATCCCTGTCCAGGGGTCGATTTCCCACTAAAAACCCCATTCAACTCACTTGCAGCATCCAGCAACACCCTCAGGAAATCCAGGTGTTGCTCCACCATGCTGAGAGGTAAGGATCGGAGCCAGGGATTGAATTGAACACCAGTCAGCATCTGATCATAATTGACGTATGTATGTGTTGTAAGACAGCAATGGTTGGTTCGACACTTTAGCACAAGGATACCCAACCTACATTATCTCGGTGAGATGCCTGATGATTGATGTTAGGTTTATTTCTAGTCAGTCTCTACTGTCTTATCACTATATGTTTATTTTGTTGATGAGCGACACTTGTGATCCCGGAGCTGGACTATGAGTAATGACTAGAGGTAATATACATAATATATGTTACAATGATAAAGCAATGAGGGAATGTAACTAACTAACCTCAGTCTCAGCCAATATGCGTGAAGAACTGAGGGAAAAGGAAATGAATTCAAATGAATGAATATGTCCATGGCCTGGCATGGATTAGTCCGAAATAATATAAAAGAGAAAAGGTGTTGTGACTAAGTAGTCACGCTACTGCGGAAATGTGGCTGTATGAAAACTCATCCAGCCTCCCATAGCACACGGTTCCTCCAACATATTTAGCATTTATCTTCCTTTTTCCGACCTGTTGGTCGCTTCACTTTCCTTTATTTGTAATAACTTTCACTCCTGTTACATTCGAGTAATCGACACTTAAAAGCTCGATGTTTACTTCGCTGATGCCCTTAGTTCTCATTGCGTTCACAACCACGAGACTGAGTATTATTCCATTCTAGTCCGCGTTAGTATTGTTGGAGAATGGATATCTGTTCCCATCGGTATAGAGTTTAACAGCCTATACCGGCATGGTCAAATGGGCGAGTTGTGTAATGGTAGCACACTGAGAGGTCCTGGTTTCGATGCCAGGCTTGTCCATGATTTTATGTCCTTGTCTTGTGACCTTAACTGTATCATTCAGTTGGATCTCACGGAGTAAGTCCCGCGGGGCAACGTGAAATTTCTTCAAGTATGTACAATGAATCAAGTTTGTTTTTACATTGGTGTAGACTAGTGTGCTTGCTGAACTGTTAAAACGCTCAAACGGTGAGAAACGGCACTGCCGTGTAGCGTCTGATACCTGAGGCTTTGAATTACGGGGTGGCGGTGTTACTCCCCGTTTACATTCATACCCCATCACCAATACATCACATGGCCACATGGGTTCCCATCAAACGGGACAATCCCGGCTGAGCGGAGTTGTCATGAATGAAGAAAGTAGCCAATGAATAGTCATCTGCGTCAAGCGGAGTCAGACAGGAGTTATAACTTATTATTCATATGGTGGAGATGGTGATGAGAGCCATAAGCGACAGGCACAGGCTGCTAGGCAGGTACCATGACCAGCCTCTGTAACAAGCTGCATCCTATCAGCACTCCGCAGCATGCTCGGCAGGTGGGCCGTGACCGAGTCCCTGGTTTCATAAGAAGTATCGCTAATAAATTTGAATGAACCCCTGCGGGGGGCGTCCACCTTGTTGTTGTCCAGCGCTCAGCCTCTCTGGGCGCAGAAGAAAATCTAATTGGAAATACAATGACCTTGTAGATGAGCGCTAAGAACTGATGTTCACGTCGTTTCCGTCCACGCCCACCTTTCCTTTTCGACGAACATAACACCCGAATAATGGTTGCACTCCAGATTCCTAGACGCGCAACGTGCTGCAATTCTGCGCACTTGCACAACTATTCTAGTACTGATAATGCCGATACGCGCACAGATATGGAGGATTAAGCGAGATCAATATTCAATGTTTCGCCATTAATCCATTTCTTCCACCCCAGGTTACCTGGGATTCCTCATTTACTTAAGGGCTTGGCTTGGTCGCTTGCCCCGGCGAGTCGCGACCAGCGGAACTCACTCGCCTCCTTTGTTCTGCCCTCGAGCTACGGCGGGGTTTCCCAACATGTTCAAGGGCGCTGCTCTTTTTTTGCTTCTCCTTTGCACTGCTTCTGTCTTCACCTTCCCTTTTCCCCAACGGCAGGTGTTACGCCGCCTTGCGCCCCAGCTCCGGGACCCTGTGCATGGAGAAACGAACGCGAAGCGACTCGAGAGGGGCTTGCCTCTTTTACCGCCAGCTAGGAGGTGGAATGCTGAAGCTTCACGAACTGAGAGTAAGTCTACAGTCACCTTCACTGACACGTAGCACGAAATGTGTGGCGTGACTATAATGCGGTTTGATCTCCAGCCGCCAAAAGGGCACAGGGCAGCGACACATACCACTGGCACGGCAAAATTCAAGTAAATGCCACGAATAATGGAAACTTAGTTGGATACCTCGAACTGGGCACCAATTGGTGGGTTTCGTCCGCTTTCTTCAGTCATGTCGCATCTGTGACGCCTGCCTGTCTCTTGATAGGTACATGGTAGGTCTGGAGTCGAACGCCGATACTTTCTCGGCCGCATTTCATAGATATGGCATCAGCCATAGCGTGAGCTTCCAGAGTGATTCAGTGCGTTATCTTTTCTTCCTCTGTTTTCCATTGAGTTTGATTTACAAATGCCATTCTCCAGAAAACTCTGAGTGCCCATCCCTATTTGGCAGGTCTCATTGATCGGGGGGTTGCACTCGGTGGGGGAAAGGCGAGCTCTGCTTTTTTGGGATCTTCAGTGCAAAGTACGTTGGTCCAGGCCTAACCCGATCCAATTCCGTCAATTTCCCCTTAAACGTCAAACGCAGCTCAATCCAATGATCCCCCTCAATCTGATGGCGCAGTTTCCGTTCCGGGACAGTACTATGAGACGGCGTTTTGGGATTACGATCCTACAACTCAAAATCTCACACCCAAATGGGTGGATGTTGATAACAGTGAGTGTCTCCTTTATTCCATTCAGGGATTCATACCCTTGGTGGCAAAGGGCCTCTCTATCCACATTGCACAGTGACACTCACCTAGGACACTTCCACAGACACGCTAACGCTAACAGTCGTGTGTGAAAAGTGGTATGGTGATAAGAAGATCTATCTCACGGCAGATGCGCACGGCGTCATGATTGCTCATCGTTACTCGCAAAACGTGGTGCGTGAACCATCAAAATTGGTCTCAGGTTGTGTATGAGGCTGGGCCGCTAATTTTACGTGTCTCTTGCAGACTCTCTCTGCGGTTTGAACCGGGACCGAGCTGAGAACCAAACCATGGTTCGGTTTTGACCCAGTTCTTTGATGGTTTGGTTTTGGGTCTCTAAGTTAGGGGGAAATGTAAACCAAATTGAACCATAGAACTGTAGGAATATAGTCATGCTCCAAACCCTATTAATATCTTATGTCACATAAGTAAAAATACATGCATTCATGAAGTCTATTTCATTACAGCAAGCCAAAGAAGAGTCGGTGCATCTAATTTCACAGCATGTATCAGGATCAATTTGGTGAAGGACAATTTAGGGAAATGATGGGTGCCCATCAGTGTGTCCCAATGGGACCCACTTCACTCAGACCACAATCACCATAAGCATCATGGATAAGTCCTAAAGCTAATGGCTCAGTCTCAAGCTATATGTGTAAGAACTTGTCAGGGTCTGACCCTTGTCCAGAGGCAACCCAGTGAGGAGGTCCAGCAGTCACTGTGTTAGGAGAAGATTATTCATAGTCAAATAGTACAGGAATATTCTGTTGGAGAATATAATATGTTCCCAATAGTATAGAGTTCAACAGCCTATACCGGCATGGCTCAGGGGCGAGTAGTGTATGGATGCACGCTAGAGGTCCTGGGTTTGATACCAGGCTTGTCCATGATTTTATGTCCTTGCCATGTGACCTGGATTTGAAGCCATTTGAATTGGAGCTCCAGATAAGTCTAGTAGTCGCACTGGATACAATTTCGACATATTTGTGATATTCTCTGTTGTATTGCACACTTACTGATTGCAGTACCAGGCCCAAGTGCAACTACAGGAAGCCTGTGACCATTCACTATTTCAGTTTGTTCTTGTTGTGTCTATCCTCCATTCACCAATTATTCCAACTTTTATTTCCTCAGACATTTGGTCATCCCCCAAATTTTTGAAACTTTGTGAAATGACATTTTATTGCCATGTTTCCTAGTAGGATTTTAATTTGAATCAAGTTTTCTGCATTGGTTAACTCAGAAAAAATGTGCAAGGAAGTTTTGTCCCAAATGCACCCCACCGGGCCCTCAGTGCTGGGTGATACACCTGGGCACTCTCAACCCCAGGTCAGTCCCTGACAATTAGTTGTTATTATATACAGGTCACATGACAATATACTATACAGAGCCCATAAGAGGTTAGAAATGGAAAATTCCCATTTCCATAACATCGATGTCCCATCCACCTCACCTGGCCAGAACCAACTCCAATCCTCCATCGCACCTCCACCTCTGGAACTCCGGTCACATCTCTGCCCCCGGACTTTGACCTCCTCCTCCATCTTATCTCCTTGTATTCTTTATTGCATTTCATTTATTATGTCTAGCCAATATTCCGGACTTTGACTTCCGACTCTGGACCTCCAGAACTTACTCCGGACCCTGCAGTCTCTACTGTATGGTGTCATTTAATCCTCTTGTTGCTTCTTCCTTATTTAGATGGCTGCTTCCTTTCCATATTAGTCAGCTGTCATTCTTCACAACCCCCTCCACTCCTTCCCCTCTTGGCCTTGCCCTTTTGGGAAGCACCATAGAGTTCCAACCCTTGACCCTTGGGGTTGTTCCCTCATCCAGTCCCCCTTTGTCTCCTTCCAGTTCCCTTTGTTCCCTTTGGGTTCTATTTGTCCTCTGACTCCACTCCTGTATTATTATATATACACTCTGTACATAGTTTCCTGTACCCTGTCAGGGACTGCATGTCGGTTCACGATGATAGAGATGTTCCCGAGAATCCTAGTCATTGTTAACGCTGAGGCACCACCCTCAGTGGAGATAGAAGTTATATACATGGGTACCGCTACCCACTAGAGCATGGCTACGATGAGATAAGAGATAACTGATAGAATGACGACATGAAAAGATAAGTATTCATTTGGATAATTGTAAGCGAGGCATGGGAAGGGGTGACATGTGGACAGAAGAAAGGAAGTGGGAGCTAAGCGAGATTACCTGCATTCTTTGGATCTCTCTGGATCATCTTACAGCAACTCCCTTCCAGCATAGGGAGTCAGGGTAGCCAGTTAGGCTGTGCCCCCAGTCTGAAATCAATGAATAGAGAACCAGAATCGACTGGATTGTCCCCCCAAGAGACTCCCCCTTGCTAACCTGAAATCAAGGACCACCTTAGACAACAAACCAGCAGCACAGCGCTCCACTTGAGTCACTGAGGCCAAGGTCCCTCCTTACTGAGTCCCTTCTCTGCTTCCAGACAATTATGCACTCTATAACATGAACCCAGTCTCTGACACTGGGGCCCATATGTGCCAGATGTGCTGGTACTGGTTGCATGTCCATATGGATCGAGCTGGGTTCTGGTACAGGAGTCCAGAGCCAGAGGTGTGGAGCATCACAAGCTCTGGTCTGGAAGGCACAAGGTTGGGATCGGACCCAGAGTAAACTGGAGTCAGACTGGAGGTAGTGTTGGATGTTGTGTTGGAGCCAGAGGTAGAGTGGGCTCTCAACAACCAACAGGGGGAGGAGGTGGTGGAGGATGTGGAGTTCTGGAGGAGGAGATGGAGGTCCGGAGTTGTATGGATATGACAGTTCAGGATGAACAAGGATGTCCCTATAAACAGAGGGCTACAGCCTCAGTGACTCTGCCAGGAGCACTGTGCCCAGTATCACGTCAGTGCCCTAATTTGCAGACTGGGAGGAACTCTGGAAGAGGGGGGATAACTCTAGTTGATATTTTCACTGAGGTGTAACGTATCTACAAGTAATGTATATATAGTTACAGGGGGAGTCTAGGTGGTGGGCCCATAAACAGCAAGGGCCAGCGGAGTGGACCTAATGGGGTTACAGGTTAGCAGGTTATAACCCAGAAGTGGAATGGAGGGGTTGGTCCGAAGGTGGACTTGCAGGGTAGGCAACTAAATGACCAGTGGAGTGAGGTCACCAATGCAGTGGACTTAAGCTGAGGTGGAGTCAAAGTCCAAGGTTGGGACCATGATGGGATCTCGGAGCAAAGGTATGAGCAGTGTCCAAGTATGGGGTACAGGATGGCAGCAGAAGGTCGTAACTTGGCAGAGGTTGGCAGAAGAGGGACAGAAGGAGAGGAGGGAGGTGAGAAGTGAGGAGAGGGAGGTGATGTCAGGTCTGAAGGTGGATATTGGAGCAGACGGGGGATAGGGTAGGACTCCAGAGGTGGTGAAGAGGAGGGTCCAGAAGTTGAATCAGGATCGGGTATGTACAGATATGACAACTGTAAGGAGTGGTGGAAACACTTGCCCCATCCTTCATCTTATATCTTTATTGTATATTTGTTGCATAATAAATATGTATAAACATTGTATATATGGAAGCGTGGGAATGTAAAAAAGGAAAAATTAGCCTTTTACTTCCCCATTGAAAATACAGCCCATTATAGTGTATTCAACGGTCTGGAAGTGTGAGGCAAACATAATATCGTGCATATAGTGTGATTAAGTAAATAACTTACAGGCACACACCCTGACTAGCCCGGACCCGGACCTGCATGTGCACTCTGCCCTGCATGCTCCATGCACTGCATGCTCTGGGCCCGGTTCCCAGACTTCCAGATATCTCCGGAAGTTTTCACCATATTGTGGCCATTGTGGGAAAGTGAGAAGTTAACCTTCTTCTCACTTTCTTACCCACAGTAGGCAAGTGTACTGTCATGGCCATGCACTCTGGCCCATTAGCTGCCCATCCCAATGCCGCCTGAGCCTGTTCCCACTGTGTGAGCGTGAGCATGAGCCCCAACTTCATCCCTAAGGTGACAAAGGTGGTGGCAGGAGATGGATATGACAATTTGCTTTGAGACTGAGTTGCCCCACTTCACTAGCAATCTCATATTCCTTCACCTCCTTCAACCTGACACCTGGGTTCTCTATTCAGGTTACCCATTAGACCTGCCCTGAGACCCTTCAGTACCATCCTGGAATCCCGACCCTGTAGGCTCCCACCCCACTACACCTTCCTAACAACCTCATCCCCTACTCCATACCTCCCCACTTCCCAATGTCACCTTCTGTCCCATCAGAACATTCAGAACCTCTGGATTTGCTCAGACCTCCTGATGGATTTCCGATGTCTTATTATATACCTCTAAACCCTTCCCTTCCTCATTTCATTTAGTGGAGTCACCCAACATTCCTTGGATATGTAACTCCAGCTTCAGAGCTACCCGCATCCCCTGGTGACCCTGCTCTAGTCATCTTTAATGAGTCATCTTCCACTTATAGCATGACTGATGTCTTCTTTCAATTCAGTCAGCTAACTTCACCTTACCCATTTCTCATTCCCATTTATCCCCCAGCCTTCTACTCCACCCTCCTAGACCGACACCTCAGTTCCCCATTAAGGATATCGTTTCGGTATCTTTCGGTACCTGTCAGTATCACTTGGACTTTGACTAAAGTCCTTCTCCTCCTCTTATATATACTGGTAGATTAGAACCCATTGTACTCTAGTTCTAATCTCGACTAAAACATACTCCTTCCCCCTATGAGTGACTTGTGTCTCCCTCTTACAAGATACCTCAGACCTCTGAAATTAAGGACTAATGAAGACATAATGGAGGCACAGTGCTCCTTTCCGAGTCGCTGAGGCTGCATCCTTCTTAGAGCCTCTTGTAACACCCTGCAGACCCGGGCTTCCTGGAGAAGCTTCAGTTCACTACCGGAGCTCTCAGAACCCCTCTAGTTGAGCCCTGTCTGCATTAGGATCTTGTCTCATCCTTCATGGGTTTTGACACTTTTGGACTTTGTCATAAGTCCTCTTTCCCCTATGTCTTATATGTTGGAGAATATAATATGTTCCCAATAGTA